TAATGTTCATTACATATTTTATATATATATATATATATATATATAATATTCATTACATATATATATATAATGTTCATTTTATATATATATACATTTGTTGTTGTTATTTGCTGTGGAGTCAGACCCAACTCATGGTGACCCCTCATCGGGTTTCCAAGGCAGTTATCACTACAGAAGTAGATTGCACAACCTTCCTTCCAAGGAGTGGCTGGTGGGTTTGAACCGCCAGACTTCTGGTTAGCAGTCAAGTGCCTTCGGCACTACACTACCAGAGTTCCATGTATACACACACACATATACACACACACACACACACATATATATATATGAAATATATTTGTAATCAGATTTTTTCCCCCAATTGAAAAAGCCCTATTGACCACATAATGAGAGTACCAGGTATTAGGACTTTCAGGTTCTTATTGTTCTAGGTGAACCCTATTGACACTTGTGAACAAGTCCAGAGTGAGCTATGGAACCAACAGCTTGCTCTGGAGGGAGGTTGCTTTTAACTACAACCCAACTTTCTAACATTTTAATTTTTTAATGTGCATTTTAATATCTTTGCAATCAGAAAGCCCACTGACTGGATTATGAAGAAAATGAGTGGGGAAGAGGACTTGGTAATCAGGCAGCAACCTGATCCATTACTGTGCTGAGGCCTCTTACAAACAGCCAAGGCAGGTGAAGGCTTGGACAATGGAGCCCGCTCTCTGGGCACTGAGGAGCGATAGGACAGTCACCCTCATTGGCTAGGGTGATGGGCTCAGTTCTGGGGTCTAGCACTCCATCCCACTTGCGGGAACATCCTTTCCCATGGAGAAACTCATTCCTTGTGGCTGGGTAAACTGGCCCTGTCCACCTAAGGGCAGACACATGACCCAGGCCTGGCCAATCACAACACACCATTCCTAGCCACAGGATTTGCTCAAAAATGGTCACATGACCACAGCTGGACCACTGATCCTCTTCCCTGGGGTCACAATGCAGAGAGGCTGGGGTTAGGGGTGTCCACTGAGCAGAGAAATGAACCTAAGTGATGGTGTCCCTGGGCATCTTTAGAGTTACAGGTTCCAACTGTGTCCCTCACTTTCCCAATTACAAAAGTCAAAACACTGCCTGTTTTTGCTCCAGCTAATGTGAATTGGGGTCCTGTTACAACTCCAAAGGACCCATCTGATACAGGACAGTACTGATGTCCACATATTGGAATCATAGGTTGGGACTGGAGGTGTGGGAAAATGAATTCCTTGATGTGGACTTTTGCCTTGGGTCTCTGGAAAAACAGCTTGAGAGATTTTTCTCCTTGAACCACCTTTGCCCTCCCACTGCCTTTAAGTTGATTCTGACTCATAGTGACCCCCATTGGGTTTTCAAGGCAGTAAATCTTCTCGGAAGTAGATTTACTTCTTCCAAGTGGCTGGTAGGTTTGAACCACCAACCTTCTGGTTAGCAGTCAGATGCCTTAGGCACTGCGCCACTAGAGTTCCCTACCTTTGCCCTAAAAAACAAAACAGAACAAAACTCCTCATTGCCATTGAGTCAATTTCGACTCATAGTGACCCTCGTTGGGTTTCTGAGGCTGTAAATCTTTATGGATGTAGATCTCCCCATCTTCCTTCTGTGGAGCAACTGCTGTTGTTGTTGTTATGTGCCGTTGAGTCGGACCCGACTCATAGCAACCCCTCCTTGGATTTCTGAGGCAGTATCACTACGGAAGTAGATTGCCCATCTTCCTTCCTCATGGAACAACTAGTGAGTTTGAACTGCTGACCTTCTGGTTAGCAGCCAAATACCTTATCTACTATGCCACCAAAGCTTCTTCCCTTTGCCCTAGTTCTTTGAAAAAGCAGTTTGGAGCAGGGAGCACCTAGGTTATTTTCTGTCCCAGAGGGTTTGCTACTTTTGTCCTAGGTTAATTGACATTTCCTGGGTAACCAATTTGATACTTTTGAAACTTTTTAAAATCTGGCCCTGGACTGTGACTGGTCTATTTTGCACACATTGCAGGGACTAGTTGACTTGCTATGCAAATAGTAGCTTGAAAATCCATCAAATCAGATTGAGTCACTTGCAGGGATTGGTTGGTTTGTGGTCCTGCTGTGAGGGGCATACCTCAAAACTGACAAGGAGTTTGCTAATACAGGCATGCCCTGTTTTATTGCACTTCACTTTATTGCACCTCGGGTAATTGAATTTTTTACAGAATGAAGGTGTGTGACAACCCTGCATCAAGCAAGTCTATTGGTGGCATTTTTCTAACAGCATGTGCTCACTTTATGTCTCTGTGTCACATTTTGGTAATTCTCACAATATTTCAAACTTTTTCAAAGGGTCCTGTGGCAGAGGTGGCAATGATGGTAGAAAGCTGCTGCTAGGAGAGCAGCAGCAGGGGAAGTTGCTACACTGGCTATGAGCTGGGCCAGTTAGGAGCAGAAAGGCCAGTGGCAGGGTAACCAAAGGCAGAGAGGCCTGCATGGCCGAGAGGGATTGTGCACAGCAAGGTGGGGCCACGCCGGCTAGCATGGCCAAGGCAAGGTCCTGAGAGAGATGTTCTGTACTGAAAAAGGGAGGGATGTGTTCTCTGCCTCAGGAGAGACTTCCAGACCTTGCCTGTGTGCTTCCTGATCCTGAGTTGTTTCTGTGACTTCCAAGTCGATTGTGATCCCATGTTATAGCCTGTTACTTCCCTAATATACCACATAACTGTGAGTGTGGTTCTGTGAGTTGTATGTGGCCAATGCACTGAGTTATCAAACCCAGCAGAGAAGTAGAGAGGGCCGTGAGGGAGAACAAACGGTATCAGAAATGGCGAAGAACTTGGAGAGTGGAGCTATGTCTGACTTCTACCTCACAGGAACCAGCTTTGTGCTGATGCTGATTCTTATCCCTCGGGAATCTAGACAAGTCCTGATGCTGCCTTACAGGAGGGATATTTTCTTTTCCTTTGTTGTTAATGTTTAGTGCAGCTGAACATGGACAGATGTGAGACACTGGCACTGGTGGCATGCCCTAGAGGACACCAAGATGGTGATGCCAGTGAGGATCTATGGCCTTGAAAACTACTTTTCCTTCCGTTTAACTGCCTGATCCTTCACAAAGCCTGTCTTGTAGACGTCCTCATTTCTGGACCTCTCTCCATCCCAGTAAGCCAGGCTCCTCCCTTCTGGGCTCCAAAAGTGCCACTACCATAGCATTTTCCATGATGGATTGGGAGGACCTGATTTATCTTCTGCTCCCATTGGACAAATCTGTCCTGAAAGAAGTACAGCCAGAATACTCCTTGGAAGTGAGAATGGCCAGACTTCGCCTCACCCACTTTGGTCACGTTGTAAGAAGGGGCAATTCCCTGGAGAAGGGTTTCATGCTTGGTAAAATGGAGGGTCAACAAAAAAGGGGAAGGCCCTCAACAAGATGGATTGACACAGTTACTGCAACGATGGGCTCAGGTACAGCAAGATCATGAGGCTGGCACAGGACTGGGCAGTGTTTTGTTCTGTTGTACGTAGGGTCGTTATAAGTCGGAGACGACTCGACAGCACCTAACAACAACAATCCATCGGACGTGAGCTCTGGGAGGCCAGGACCCCACCCCAGATTCCCTAGAATGTAGCGTGGGATCAGCCCAGATTTTCTGACTGTGTTGGATAAAGGAAGGACAGGCAGCCTATCTGAAGGACGAATTTTTCCTCTGTATCCCAAACGCTCTCCCCTAAACTTGTTAAGAGCCTGGGTTACAGCCTTCCAGTTTTCTTCCAACATAATTAATTGCAATATGCAGTTCTGAATCCTACCTTAACTTGACATTGCATTATAGGTATTTCCACATCATTACATATAGTCCCACAATTGTCCTCTTTATTGGTTGTTCTCCCAAGTGAACACACTTTAATGGATGCAACCAATCCCCCAGTTTTGGATATTTCAGATCATTTTCAATCAAATTATTATTATTATTTACCATTATATTGCTCCTACAAGGAACGTATTATGATAAAATTTCTCGTTTATGATTTTTTAAGTGTAATTCCTGGGTCAGCAAGTGGGAGGTGGTTTAAGGCTTGAGAACACACTGCAAAACCATAAAAGGAAGCTCTTTTCACTCAGTGAGAGTGTCCTTGGAGAGAAAGCAAGAGAGCTCCCCATCACTGGAGGTGCACAAAGCAGAGCCATTTCTCAGAGGCCTATCAAGGGCCTCTCCCAACCCCTAGTAAATGGGAACTTCAAGCTGTGACCCCTTTAAACTCTCACAGCCCATCCTTGACCACTGATTCAAGGGCCTATGCAGCATGGGGGTGGGTTTGGCTTGGTCTCCATAGTGTTTGTGTGCTTTAATTCTGAACTAACTGTTAACATCTTGAAATTGGGAGATTTCACACATAAATCTGGGTTTGTGGATACTTCTGAAAAAAGTGAGAATATGGAGTTATGGGAATATGTCCCATGAGTCAGAGTCTATGTCACCTAGGTGGCCTGAGCCAACAGTATCCAGCTCTCACACTGATGATGCCTCTCAGCCCCTACAGGCCTGTGGGACTACCCACAGGGTCAGGAAGGATCCTCCAGCTTCCCACGGGGCCTTCTCACATGAGAGGTGACACTTCCAATCGGCTGAACCCTCCTGATAATGAAGCAAGGAGAGGCGAGGAAGCTCTAACCTTGGGCAACAGGAGGACCCAGTCCTAACCAGTGTGCTTTTCCATGGCTGGGTGAGCACTTACGCCAGGTGTGGTTGGTCACATTCTTCCTGCCTGGACAGGACCTTAAAAGACTATCTAATTCATGAATTCCAATACTATACCCATCACTAGGCCATCTTACAGATGGGTAAAGCTGAGGTCCTAGGTATGAAGCGGTCTCCAGGGGAGGGCAAAGCTTAACTCAAAGGTAGCTCTTGGGGATGGCAGATTCAGAGCCCCTCTGGAGATTTCAGCCTTTTCCACCCCATGAGACTGCCCACTTTCCAGCACTGAGCCTCTGAGACACTCCCCCCAACTCACTCCTCCTCTCTCTCCAGGACGTCCCGGGGCACGGGCAGCAGGGACAAGAGGCAGGCTTGGCTTGTGTGCTGGATCTCCCCAAGCCGCTGCTGGTGCTGGGCTCCTGCCATGTGGTCCTGGAACTCCTGCAGCAGGAGGAAGTGAAGGATGGGCTTGAGGTGTGAGCCCAGGGCAGCAGGCAATGGTAGGGTCTGGGGAGGAGAATTCAAACCTTACCCTCAGAGCCACCCAGCCACTGCTGTGAGACCGTTACTCTCACGACAGCCCAGCACAGGCCAGAACAGGAAGGTAAACCAAGGCACAGAGTGAGTACCCACTAGCCAGAGCTCCTACCCCTCCTAGGAAGAAGCTGGCTGTGTAGAGGGAAGACTGTGTGAATACATCAAAGAAGATGAACAGCCTGATTAATTTCCAGGTCTCCATGGCTCTGCTTGGAGCAAAGCAGAGAGTAACAGGAGTGAGAATATCCACAGTAGTAAGAATACGAGTATCATGCTATGATTAATGCTGCATGAGAATGCTCACTCTGGGCCAAGACGGGCTCATGACTTCAATGTCAAATTCCTGACTCCTCAAAACCACCTGATGAGGCATCTAACTCATGAGGACACCGTGACAAGGTCCACACAGCTGGTCAGGGGCCCAGCTGGATTTGAACTAGGTCTGCCTGACTCTAAAAACCTATGTTCTTGACTGGTCAGGAAATGTTTTCAGAGGAAGTGAACAGCTTGCAGGGACAGGGCTCACAGGGCCTAGTGTGGCTACTCAGGCAGCTATGGAAGGGGCAGGCTGGGCATCCCACCCAGACCCCACCCTCTGCCCCACCCACTCCGCCCACCCACCTGGGGCCCACAGTGTAGTACCTGCTGACTGGTGCAGTTGGCCTTACAGATGTAGCAGAAGAACTGGAGGGGCTGCTTGGAAGGTGTGCTGCCAGTGGGGGTGGTGGACGTGGTGTCGCTGGGACGGGGCCCAGGAGTCACGGGTACAGTGCTAAAGGCCCGACTGTCACTGCTCTGCAGGATGGTGACCTTCAGGGAGCCCCCGGCACCCCAAACCTGTACCAGAAGCAGGAGATGAGCTACCACCAACTGGGCCCTTCTGGTAGGTCAGCCCCAGTTTTGGACAAAGCACCATCAAATCCAGTCTGGTCTGCCTAAGCACCCCAGGTTTCAAGGGCTGCCATCCCATTTTGCAGATGGGGAAACAGGAAACAGGGTGGGCCTAAGGTGGTCTGGGGCAGACAGAAGCCATACCATTGCTGGGTTCTGAGGCCCTCAAGTCCCCAGTCCCCCAGGCTGGGCCCCCAGCTGTCACATTAATGTCTCTACCCACCCTGAGCATCTCTCTAGCTCTTTTTTCACATTCTCCCAAATCCAGGCTGCCGGCTGGTTCCTCCTGGCTCCCCTCCATGCTGACTTGGGCATCTGCTGGCCCTGGAGAGGCCTCCTCCAGCCCTGAAATGACAGATGTGCACTGTTCCCCAGAGTCTGTCTCCCACCCTAGATCCAGAGAGACCCAAATCCAAGAGCTGCCTTCTCTGCCCACAGCTGGCAGCTTCAAGCCTCTAGTGTAGATAGCCAGGGCTTGGTTCCAGGCCCAGACCTCAGTCTCAGGCTATACTCAGAGTCAGAAAGTCCCAGGAAGGAACAAAGGGTTCCAGCAGAGCTGCTCCAACACTGGGGTCAGTTAGGGGCCAGAGCTCACTTACTTCCTCCTGCTTCTACCGTATCCGGCGGCATGTCTGGCACAGTGGCATGAACTGGAACTGGTGGTTGCTGTGGTGCTGGCCCTGACATCTGTGGCTGGGTCTGAAGCTGCTCCTGGGTCTGCTCTGGTGGCAAGTGCATGGGAGGCTGCTCAAGTGGCTGTTCTCGTGGCTGGGCCCTTGGCTGAGTTTGTGTCTGCAGCTGTGTCTGTACCTGTGGATATGTCTGTGTCTGCACCTGCTTCTGCAGCTGTGGCTGTGGCTGCTCTGGGGGCTGTGAAGGTGCCTGGGGCTGCCCCTGGGGCTGCACCTGTGGTTGCAGAGGCTCTAAGTGCTCTGGATAGGTCTGGGTTTGTGCCTGCTTCTGCAGCCTGGGCTGTATCTGGGCAGCCACTGATGGCATCTGTGGCTGAGTCTTTCGCTGCACCTGGGTCTGGATCTGCAGAACCCGTGGTGAGAATCGTGGTGGTACGTGGGCTTCCAGAGGCTCGGGCAGCAGCTCAGGGGTCTGCGTCTGCTTCGGGATTGTCATCCGGGCCTGTGGCTGGACCTTTGCCTGCAGCTGCCCAGGGGGCCTCTTCTCTGTGGACTCCTCTGAGCTAGGAAGGATCAAGAAGAATCAAATTCATGTCTTCCCAGAGGGCCAGTGGAAGCTCCCAAGAAAGAGACTCAAGTTCCAACACTCGTTCTACCATTTCTGAGTGGGGGATCGGGGAAAGCCCCTTCACCTCTCTGAGCCTCAGTTTCATACAGGTGAACTGGGGAGAATCACATCTCCCAGAACTTGCTAATATGTACACAAAACTCTGTAAGCCTGCGTACCCTCTGAGGTCTCAGATGCACAAATCCACCCTTCCACCTGGCCCCATGGCCTGGCCTCCAGGTTGGGCTCAGTCACAATGAAGACACCAGCGTTGGTTAGCGGCCCTCCCAGGTAAAGTGCCAGAGGCTATGGCTCTGAAGAGCTCTGCCCTTTTCAGGAATGTGAGCATAGGGTACTTACCTTTTCAACCTCTTGGCTGGCAGCTCCAACCTCTCACAAGGCTCTGGCTCTGGCCTTGAGGTGTGTTTCTCCTTAGTGGTGCCATCTGGGCAGTGGGGGGACTCCTGACCTAGAATGGAGGGTAGATGAGGGACCTGAATGCTGTGTTGGACACTTAAGAGTGCTAGGAGATGAGGCCTGGCCTCACCACACACCCCACCCCTTCCCTGATCTGAGAAAGGGAGGGTACTCCACCTGCCTCCCACATCTGCCTCCGTTACCCACCGACGTGGCACATGCCTGCCCCAACCCATGTCCCCTCTGAGCCAGCAGCCTCCGTCTCTCACCTTCTGGTGTGTCAGTTCTGGCCTCTGTGGCTTCCTCAGACCCCTCTGGGGGGTCTGACTTGTCGTCCATGGGCATCGTCTGAGAAGAAGAATCCTGCTTCCTTTCAGAACCCATTTCTGATATCTGGCATCCACCCTTGCAAATGCAGCTTGCCCAACAGTGGCTGCACTAGTCCCCCAGAGGATGAAGGGGCCCGGGGGACTCTGGCTGGCCTGGCCCCAGAGCTGCCAAGCGGATGGTCCAAAACACCCCAGAATCATCTAGGAGGGTCCTGACTTCTCCACCCCCTTCTTCATGAAGCAGCCAGAGGGATCTTTCTAAAACACAAACTTGATCATCTCTCTCATCTCTTTTGGGCTTAAAACCCTCCTGTGCTTCCTGACATCCTGGAGTTCTCCCTGTCACTACTCTCAAGCCCCCTTACTAACCAGCCTCTGCCCCGTTCTCCACTCCAGCCTCATCTTACCCCACTCTCCCCTCAACCTCTCTGGTCATCCAAAGTCCCAGGCCTCTTCCTGTCCCCAGGCCTCTTCCTGTCCCCAGGCCTTTACCCAGAGCTTCAAAAGCACTTCTTACAGGAAGCCCTCCTGACCCCAGGCTAGGTGCAGACTCCAAGTACAGGTCCCCAGAGAACCCTGAGCCATTTTTCATTATCTTAATTAACTAGTTGTTGTAGTATTTGTGTTTCAGGTCTCTCCAGCCCACCCCCAGCCCAAAACCAAGAATTCCAGGAGGGCCAGACCACAGGTCTGAATTCCCAGTAAGTTCTAAATGAACACGTGACTTTGGTCAGTGCCAGGCCTCCCCCAGGAATCCACCTGCAGCCTCTTTCCCTCCCACTAAGTCCGAGGGGTCAGCAATGAATAGGGGACAGCAACCTGGGTATTGAGTAAGGACTCCACACACCCTTCAGAAAGTACCCAGCTCTCACCCTGCCCCAAGACTCAGGCACTGTGCTCCAGCTGCGTGGCCCAGGGCAACTCCCCACCCCACTCTCTGAGCCTCAGATTTCCCACAAGTAAAACAGAGCAGGCAGACACCAGACAGTCCTTAAAGGACCATGTTACAATAGGCCCTATCAGAAGGTGCCAGGCTGAGGTCCCTGTCTAGAGGGGCATGCCTCAGAGCAGCCAGGAAAGAGGATTCTGCCCCCAGCCCTGGAACTGAACTCAGGAACATGGTGTGTACAAGGGGCTATGGGAGTTTCAGGGACAGGCAGTCTCAGGGAGGTGCTGCCTTCTGCCAGTCTCTGATCCTTTCTGCGATGTCAGTGAAAGGCTCACACTGGCACCTTTAATAACTCAAGGCTCCAAACACCAGCTCATTGCAGAGGCTGTAGGCTCAGAACCTTCAACTATTAACAGTGTATAGTTTAGGATTTTATAACATCATCTCATCCCAATTACATTTCTTTCATTTCTATGCATGATTAGCCATACTGGTTTTGCATTTCAGGCAGTGGTAGAAAGTGTCCTTTTTAAATAAATGTAATTGAAAAGAAGCCAGTTCATTGAAAGCTGTGCTATCTCATACAGTAGCCACTGGCCACACAAGGCTTTTGGGTCCTTGAAATGTGTCCAGTCCAGCCCATGTGCCAAAGTATAATGCATACAGAATTTTGAAGACTTAATACAAAAAAAGGAAGACTGTAAAAATACCTCACTAATAATTTTCATTAATAATTTATCATAATGTTAAAATGATCATATATTTGATGTAGTGAGTTAAATAAAATATATTAGTAAAACTAATTTCACCTGTTTCTTTTTATTTTCAAAAAATGTGGTTGCTCGAGAATTTTAAATTATGGACAGTACTGATTTAAAGGGAAATAAAACAAAAATAAAAACCAGACCTACTACCATCAAGTCGATTCCAACTCATAGCAACCCTACAGAACAGAGCAGAACTGTCCTATAGGGTTTTCAAGGCTGTAAATCTTTACAGAAGCTGACTGCCTCATCTTTCCCCTGCAGAGTGGCTGGTGGGTTCGAACTGCTGACCTTTTAGTTTGCAGCCCAATGCCTTAACCAGAGTACCCACAGAGCTTTTTAAAGAGAAATATTAAGTAAATAATAGCACTGGTAGTGTTTGACATGGCAAAAATCATGTTAGGATATGGGAATGTTTGAAGTTTGGGGAACACTAGACAAGTCAGATGTCTTACTTTACAGATGAGGAAACTGAGGCATGAAAAGGGTGTGTGACCTGCCCAAAAGGCGAGCTCACAGCCAGAGTGGATGGAGCAGGCTGATACCCAGGTAGCCCCTCTTCCCCTCCCATCCCTACCTGCTCCACCCATCTCCACTCACCTTGTGACTGGGGGTAGTGGATGACGGGGTACGGGCCTGTTTCTGGGAGGTCCTCCCTGAGAGGTTGATCTGGGAAGGGTTCATGGGGAGCCCAACAGGAGGGGGGCCCAGCAGGGACTGGCGAGTGGCTTGGGGAAAGAATTGTTGTAGATTTGGGGTCGCCAGTTGGGGGGGTGTGAGGCTGGGGGCTGTCAGGTTTGGGGTTGCCAAGTTGTAGCCACGGAAGTTACCTGTGGGTAAGAAGAGGGATCACAATTGTGGTTGGTTGGCAGAAATGAGTGTCAGGGGTCAGTCACCCAAAGCATCATGGGAACTTAACAGACAACTTTGAAGGGGGGCATTCCCTACTCAAGGAGCCAGAGATGAAAGCCAAAGGGGTCAGTCCCACTTAGGCACTGGTAGTGAAGGAGGCCTTAGGGCTGGTTTTCTGCTCCAACTGGAGGACAGGGGTGAGGTTAAGGGTGGGACGCTACCTTCTCCCCCTCCAGATGTCTCCCTGGTCAGCGGCTTGACTAGCCCCAGCAACCCTGCTCACCCTCATGTACGCTTTAGGGTATATGCCTTAGGGTACATGAAAGACCAAGTGCGAGGCCTGTAAGGAGAACCAGCAAGATGGCTAGTCCCTGGAATAATGAGACATCCCCACACGTACCAGCAACCCTTCATCCAAGGCCTGCTATGAGCCAGGCACTGTGCTAAGTTCTTTCCACACATGAGCAGTCATTAGGGGTAGGTTCTATTATCTCTACTTTACTGGAGAAAACAGAGACACGAAGTGGAGGAACAGCTTGCCAGGGTCTATGAGAGGCAGTGCCGTCTACCTGCTGGCCCCAGCCATGATCCAGGGGTCCTCCTGACCCCTCTCTGTGTCCCCCCATTCAAGCTATCACCAAGTTCTATCAACTCTACCTCCTACATCAACTCTTCCTAGTCTGGCTTGCCCTAGCTCCACTCTCACCCTATCTTTTCCAAAGCCACTTCATCTCTTATCTGAACATCACCCACAATCTTCCCACAGACCAAAAGCAAACAGTGATCTTTCTAAAGCCACATTCTGACCATGTTTCTCCCCCTGCCTAGACCCTTCCATAGCTCCCCGATGCTCGGGAATGAAACCCAGTCCTCACCATGGAGGTCCAGACTAGTCCACCTCTGACTCTTGCCATTCTTCCTACACATACCGCAACTATACCGTAGCCATATTCCCCCATGCGTTCCTCAAACTTTCCTGGTTTCCTTTGCCTCTGGGCCTTGGCACATGCTGTTCCCTCTGCCTGGGCTATTCTCCTCTCACTAACTCCTCCTAGTTGTCTTTCAGACCTTCCTTTAGGTGTTTCTCTTCCAGGAGGCTTTCCTAGCCCCACTCTATATCTTGCCAGCCCCCCTCTATGTCTCCACAGGCTTGGGGCCAGCTGCACAACCTCCTTGTCTGCTTCCAGCTGCTCACCACCCAACCTCAAGGGCAGGCTCCTCATCCAACTCAGCTCCACACCTCCGGGGAGGTCCAACACTCAGGAAGCTTTTGAGAAATGAAATACAGTTGGAATGATTGCACCAACACACTGAAGTGCTTCATTGTGCTGGGGTGTGAAGCACAGGGGCTAACAGCATGAATCAAATGTGCTGTGGGAGCTGGGTTCAAATCCAGACTCTACTGTACAAGCTCTGTGACCTCAGGCAAATCAGTCTCTCTCCTTCTCAGCTTCAGTTCCCTCATCTCCAAAATGGGGACAATACTAGTGCTTGCCTCACAATGTTTTGTGAGGATTCAGTGAGATATACAAATGTGCCTGGTACATAGTAGGTGCTTAATTAACATTAAATTAAAATAAATGCATATAGATCACATAAATACCTACCTATGTATACAGAGAGAGCCAGCACACTAGCTCTTAAAAACAGTAAGACAAAAGATGGAACACCCAAATAGAAAAGTGGACAAAGGACATGGACAAGTCACAAAAGTACAAATGTTATAACAGACAAATATAAAAGGTTCAACAGCACTAGCATTCAAAGAAATGGAAATTAACATATTAATGCTATAGCTTGTCTTGACAACCAAATTAATATATTATATACATATATTAAAAACAAAAAACATATAATACCCAATGTTGATGTGGGCATGGTGAGACCGGCACTGTCATACGTGGCTGGTAGCATTGCAAACTGGTCCAGTCCTTTGGGAAAGCAATTTGGCAACACTTATCAAAAGCCACAAAACATCCATCTCCACCCATCATTCTACTTTTGGGAATCCAGTCTAAGAAAATAGTCTCAAACATCAAAAAGATATTCATCCCAGTGTTATTTAAAATAGCAGGGGAAAAAAAAAGGAAATAAATAGCTCAATTGTCCAGTAAGAGGAGAAGTTTTGGGTAGGCAAGTGAACATACCCTCAATGGTATTAAATAGCTATTAAAACCCATTTTTACAGAGACTGTAAACTCATATGGTAAATGATCCAATACATCTGGTGAAAAATACAATACAGCCTTCCACTTATGATACAACCACAATCATGTCCAAATTTCCAAGACTGTGCCTAGAAAGAAAATAGGAGGAAATATACCAAAACACTGACCGATGGTATCTTCAAATGCTGGTTTGAATTTTCCTATAGCCTTTGTTTATATCTTTTAATTTTTCTTCAAAGAGTACAGGGCAAGAATGTATGTATACATTGTGGGTCTCTGTGAGTATTTTCAACTTTCCATCCATCCATCATTTGCAAGTCAGCTCCCAGGACCATCCACCCCCACGTAGCTCTAGCAAGACTGAAGATTAACAAGGCATCGTATCTTCTGATGAGGCAGGATGGTCTGCTGGCTAAGATCACAGCTGTGCAGTAAGACGTGGGCTCTAATTCCCATTCTAGTCAACACCTACTCACTGTGTGACCATAGGCACATGACCCCTTCTGGGTCTCAGTTTCTTCATCTGTCAAATGGGGATGATGGCTGTATCTACCCCTATGATTGTCAGCAGAGTCAAAGAGTTCAGTTTGAAAAGGCCTCAGCACAATGCCTTGCCCAGAGGAAGCTATCATTACTGTTAACAGTCTTGTGGGAGGGTCTAGGTCTGAACATGAGCTGGCCCCAGATCACTGGGCCCCAGGATTACTCTTTCAAGGGGCTGAGGGATCAGAAGTAGCATCCAAGAAGGAAGAACTGAGAAGCTGCTCTCCACAAAGGGAAACGGAGGCAAGGATACGTGTTTAATGCACAGGTCTAGAGACGCCCACTTAGACACTGGAGATCAGCAGATCCAGGACCTGGTCTAGCTCACCCACTTCAAAGAGTATGGGGAAAGAATGTATATATACATTGTGGGTCTCTGTGTTGTACGACCCAGGGAGAATGACTTCCCTTCTTTGGGTCTTAGCCTCCTCATGTCAAATGGGATACCAAGGTAGTGGTGGTGTGTGCTGTCGGGTCCATTCTGACTCACAGCAACCCTATATGACAGAGTAGAACTGTCCCATAAGGTTTCCTAGGCTGTAATCTTTATAGACGGGACCCTGGTGGTGCAGTGGTTGAGCTCTTGGCTGCTAACAGAAAGGTCAGTGGGCAGAAGAAAGATACAGCAGTCTGCTTCCATAAAGATTGGCAGCCTTGGAAACCCTATGGGGCAGTTCTACTCTGTCCTATAAGGTTGCTATGAGTCAGCATTGACTCGGTGGCAATGGATTTAATGTTTTTTTAATCTTTACAGGAGCAGATTATTAAATCTTTTCTCTGGCGGAGTGGCTGGGTAGGTTTAAACCACTGATCGTTCTGTTAGCAGCCAAGCACTTAACCAGAGCTCTTTGGGATGCAGAGAAGGGTGGTCAAAATACTCCTTTCCATTCATTAGCTTATCTACTCTGAATGAGAGGTTAAGTGCACTGAGCACTGCCCATGACGGCAGCACCATGGCCAAGGGCTTGGCTCTGTGATCACACAGACCTGTACTCAGCTGAGTAATTTAGGGACTTTCACCTCTCAGTGTCCTCCTGCGTAAAGCAGGGAGCTGAGAGCAGTTTCCTCCCAGGGTTATTGGGTGGATTGGATGAGATGTAGTGTAAGGGGGCTGCTGGGAGCTACACTGAAAGAAGCAGGAAGGGGCCCAGCACCCTACCTTGCAACTGCTGTAAAAGCAAAGCTCTCTGCAGCATGGAGCCGTTGAGGAGGGAGTTCGAGTTGGTGCCCTGGAAATTCAGAAGCTGCTGCTGTGGCTGCTGCTGAGGGAGCCCCCTGTGTGTTGGAAAGCGGTGTCACAGGGCTGTTGAGGAGCCCAGACCCTCCCTCTTCCCTGACCTCTCTGTGCCCCACTAGAGCAGACAGAGGATTCCCTTGGGGGTCAGAGTTGAAGATCCCCCAAGCCTCTAGCAGGGATGACCCTGGGAGAAAGGACTGTGATGAGAAGTCCCCAGGACGTGGATCAGGGGTCGCCCACCCCCAGTGGGGAGCTCACCTGCCAAGCGCCATGGGTATGGGGGCTTGTGGTGGGGACTGCTGGAGTAGCTGCTGGAGCTGCAGCAATTGCTGCTGGTTGAACATGGCCACTGGGGGTAGAGAGGCAGGTAAGCGAGGGTCTTGCCATGGTTTGGTTCAACCCTCAAATACTGCCTGGTGAACTTCAGGCTACACTCCCAGTCGCGCCAAGAGCATGCTCACATTCGCATGCCATCCTTTCAATACTCTCCAATGCTGCCAGTAACAACCCCACTCAAGCAGCCTCAGGCTAATTTACCCAAACCCTGTCAATAGTCCTCCTTCATATCCCCAGCTCCAACTCCAACTCTAGGGGCTCCATCCTTCCAGGAGAGCCTCCCTACCCCCATCATTCTCCACCAATCCTGTCCCGCCGCCTGCCCCTCCCCACTCACAATTCTTTTGTATATTCCTACCTTCTCCCTTCTGCCCTATGTTGTGTCAGTAAGATCAACGACCCTCCCGCCTCACTCCAATATGCTTTCACTTTCACCCATGAACCAAGTAGACGTCCCTCCCTCTCTACTCCAATTCCATTCTTTGCGTGCCCTCTCAACTCCCCAGCCCCCACCATTCCGCTAACTCCTTCTTCTTCAGATAGAGACATTATCCGTCAAATCCGAAAACCCCAGCAAGCCCGCGAAACCCGTAGCCTGCGTTCAAGCTGTCCCTAACTCTCCCCCCCTCAAGTTCCCCGTACCTCGTCTCTCCGCGCGCCTTTTGCCACGGGAATTGCACAGCCTCCTCCCCGCACCCGCTCAGCAATCGCGTCGCCCCCTCGGGAATCGAGGGCTGCAGGCCTACCAAGCGCAGGCCGGGGTGCTCCCGCTCCGGGGCTCCCGGGCTCCCCGAGGCTCCGCCGGGCCCTGCCAGCTCAGAAGGCGCGACCGCGGGCCCGGCCGGGCAGCGCCCTCTGAAGGACCGGAGGTCTCCGTGCCGCTGGCAGTGCCGCGAGAACCTTCCCCGCGCACGGGTCACGCTACTCCGGCCCTAGGCAGAGCAGACACTTCTCCGCATTCAGAAGGGGTGACTCTGAGCCCAAGGTCCGTTTGTATCCGGGAGGGGTCTGTCGTCAGATAGGGCCACCGTAGGGGGCTTCGAAGAGGACTCTTCTCCAACTGACCTTCTCCCGGCTGTCCAGCGAGCCGAGAGCCCTGCGCGGGGCTGGGGTGAGAGGGGTCGTGCAGGCGGCCGATTTGCATTCCGGACTGAGGCCTGGTGAGACTGCGCCCAGCCAAGGTTGCACATCCCAGCAGAAGAGTTTGGCCTAGAAAGGGATGGGGTGGTGGCTCCTTATTAGATTTGGCTCAGGAAGGGATGTTGTTCTTGTTGTTGTTATGTGCCGTCAAGTCAAACCCGACTCATAGCGACCCCTCCTTGGGTTTCCGAGGCAGTATCACTACGGAAGTAGGATTGCCCAACCTTCCTTCCGAGGAGTGGCTGGTGGGTTTGAACCGCCAGCCGTCTGGTTAGCAGGCAAGTGCCTTAGCCACTGTGCTACCAGAGCTCCCTAGGAAGGGATGAGAAGGGCTAAATTAAGTTATAAAAAGACGGCGTTCATGTTGCCCCTAAAACGATTCTAACTCCAAGACCGTTTTAAGGAGCACTGACTCCTGCACCCGCGGGAGAAAGACGAAGCAGGCTTCCATAAAGATTTACAGCCTTGGGAACCCTAGGGGGCAGTTCTACTCTGTTCTAACGATATGAGTCAGAATCCACTCGATGGCAGTGGGTTTGGTTTTAGATCTCCCAGCACCCCCCTCCTCTGTCCCCATACGTAAACACTGTTCCAAACAACTCTTGGTTAATAAGAAGCAATTCCTATTCTCTTTTCGGTTGCTCAGAGCAGTCAATGTCTGTAACAACCCCGGGTGATTCGCTCTTTCTGCACTAAGCAGCGACTGTGTGCCAGCATTGCGCACGGGGGCGCTAGGAACGCTCAGATCAGAGCGTGGCCCGCTGCTCTGAAGGAAGGCGGTCAAGCGGCGCCTCAGCAAATCAGTGCAGTCATGTGACAAGCGCTGCCCTAAACAGCTGGCTGGGGCTCTAGCTCAGCCCGGGGCGCGGACGGCGAGGGGTGCCTAACGGCCTAAACTCGTCGCGGAAGAGCTGGGACTTAGAGGCGCCGGGGGTGGGGAGCCGGAGTCAGGGGAATGCAGGTGCCTGAAAGGCAGGCCGGAAGTAGGGGAGGATTACCCAATGAGCAAGGTAAGCACCGCCTTACTTGTATTTATTTACTAACCTGCAGTGAACAGTTTCACAGGTTTTTCACATCTGTGTTGAAACCCATGTGAAATTGTTCACTACAGATTAGTAAGTAACCACAAGTAAATCTGTGCTTACCTTGCTTCCTGAGGGCTCTATTCTTGTCAGGGACTGTAAATTTGAGAAGAGGCTTTGATTCTGTAGGAAGGTGCTGTGGGGTTGGGAGAGAGACAGATGGCCATCATGCCTAGAAGCAGAATCTTTGTTTTGTTGAAAAAAAAAAAATGTAAAATTGTTCACTGCAGTTAGTAACTAAGCACAAGTAAACCTGTGCTTACTTTGTAATCATCTCCTGGTAGGAGCACCCCAACTGAAGTCACAGCATCAAATATGTGGATTAGAAAATTCACTTGTGTGAAAGACAATGGTGGTGGCCCAAAGCAACAGAGTCGTTGAAGAAGAAAAGGACCAAGGAAAACAGGCCATGCCTCCAGCTGGAGTCAGAGAAGTCCAGGGGTGACCCTGGCGCGTGAGGAGCCAGTTTTCTCATCTGTAAAATGGGTGCCACCTCCCAGGGTGGTGTGACAATGACATTACATAACACTTAGCAGGACACGTGGCAGAGAGGAAGCTTAGCAAACTGCCAAAGTAAAAAAAACTAAAAATAATGCTCAGAGCTGGTGAAGCTTGGAAAATTTGCATTGGCTTCCTGCATCCATGGGTTCACCTTTCTGGAAAACAGCTTGCAATTATGTATCAAGATTCCTGCATATGTTCTGCCCTTTGACCCCACTTGAGGGTATCCCCACTTGTAGGAATCTGGCCTTAAGCAAATAATCAGAAATGAGTCTTTTAAAAGCCAGCAGGTTGTTCAAGAAACATTATAGCTGCCTGGAAAACAATCAACTTCAGGGGGCAACTAAAATAATAATAGGAGGTTGCCTCCTGTGGAATAGAACACAACCGTTAGAAATTATGCTTTCAAAGGAGAATTAAACACGCACTATGTGATGTGAAGTGAACTCAGCAGGTTACAAAACTACACATGCATTATGGTCCTGGTTTGGAAAGAATAGATATATGTGTGTAGTGGGCTCATGTTGGAGGGTTCACTTTCTCTCTTCTTTTCTAATTTGCTATAATAGGTTTCTATAATGTTATCTTGGAGAGAGAATGAACTTTTTTTTTTTTTTTTAATGCATATGGCCCTTGCACTACCTCTTTGAAGGCCAGATGAGATAATGGATGGGGACACTCTGGGGATATTGGGGCTACACTCATGTTAATCACTGATGATGAAGATGATGATGAAGATGATGATGATGATGATGATGGAAGTTTACAGAGCAAATTCATTTTCCATACAGCAGTTGTTCATACACATTTTGTTTCATGACATTGACTGCAATTCCCCACAATGGAACAGCTCTCTTCCTACTTCTTCCCTGTAGTTACCTCTCCTCTTTGTCCTTCTTTCCTATACATTCTCCCACTCCCCAACCTATGTCCCTATGCAAATACTCCCCTTCTGTTCTCCCGTGATTGGTCATTCTAAAGAGTGTATCTACCTGGTGTAAATGTTCACCCTCTATGCCTGTCTGTTGTTTGCCTGGAAATCACGGGAGTGAGTTCAATTCCAGACTTGAAGGGTTACTAGGGACCATAGTCTCAGGGGTCTCCCGAGGTTCTATCAGACAAGTATCATGTTAACTGCTTTTAAGCTTTTAATCAACCCCATGCAGGCAAAGCCTTCCAAGGAATATCATCAGAGGGAGAAGGGCTCCTCTCTGTACCCCAAATGGAATCTCAGGCTAGAGAATCACCTGCACCCCTCATTCTTGCCTCTGATGTGAGGTCTCTTTTATCACAAAGTAAATTCTTACACACATTCGATTTACATCCAGATCCTTTCTGCTTCGGGTCTCTGCCTGTCTCTTCCTTTAATGATGTCACACAGTGTGATCATTGTAGCTTTAGAGTGTTTTAGTCCCCAAGAGCGCGAGCTCCTGACATTCTTCTTGTTTTTTTAAAACATTTATTGCCAACTCGCAATCATGTATTTTTTGAGATAAATTTTAGAAATAACAATAAATGAAATAATGTCAGCTTCCTAGAAGAAAAAAAAAACATCAGAATGTTGCGTTAAATGTGTTAGGTTGGAGAGGAATTGGCGTATTTACACCAAGTTTTTCGGTTTAAGAATGAGATAAATGTCTCCCTTTATTCACGCTTTCTGTTATGTTGTGGTTTTGCAGGTTTCTTCGCTCATCACTGGGTAGCTTCTTTGATGGCTGTTGTCACTATTTTCCCAGGAAAATTTCTAACCAGCTATTGATTGTATTTATCTTGTACCTGCCACCTCTCTCACCTCGAATTATTTCTGTACCCAGTGATGTCATTTGCCCCTCAGAGGCAGAAAGTAGCTGCTGACTCATCCCAGTGTCCTTGGGACCCAGCTCTGAGTCCTGCACATTGCAACTATCTGGTGAAGGTTGCTTGAAGGGAGGGAGTAAGGGGGGGAAAGAAGGAGGAAAGAGGGACGGGAGGGAAGGAACTGCGCCAGGGTGCAGTTTCCTCCCTCCATCCTTGGGTGTTCAGCAGAAATAGCTCTTCTCTCCTGGTATCTGTGATCACGACCCCATAGAACGGAGGAGATACCCTGAGGCACCCAGCACAGCACAGCAAGGCAGGTAACATGGATGGGGGTCAGCATAACTACCGGCTCAAAAACTCTGGAAACAGACTGTGCGCAGCAACAGCTCCAGGAACAGTCTAAGGCTGTATGCTTATCACCTGTCTCCTAGTTGCTATCAAGCACTGTTTCTTCACCTACAAATAAACAGGCAATTGAAATAGAGGTT